TAACCGAACCCACAGTATCTCTGAGATATGCCTGCACTCAGTAGCTTATTTTTAAGTAGAACAGAAAAAAAAATTCCCAATTCCCAATGCCTGGGCCAGAGTAGAGTAACCACCAACAAAACAGCTGTTAACATGGCTGACGAGCAGTTCTGTTAACTGCTTTAGTCAAGTTAAAGGCCTGCCAGGGGAGAAATTCTGGCTGGCTTAGCAAGGAGAGAAATTTCAGAGGTAGCCACCACAGATGGTAGCAGATGTCATGGAGCACAGAGCAGAAGCCACCGGGGACTTTGTCTCAGAGCTAAGCAAAAAAGCTGATAAATACTCAGCCAAGTCAACTGCCAATTATACATCCCGAGAAGCTCAGGAAACCAGGGAGGGTGTAAAAGTTTCTTTAATTAACAGCTTTCCATTTTCCTTATCCACAAATCTGTCAGCCCATTTCTCTTCAAAGGTCTAAGACATAGGCTTTAGGTAACCGTCTTTACCATAGTATGCAGAGGTGTAAATGTACAATTTGCAATTACAGTATTGACTGTTCCAGTCCTAGGGTTAAAAGTGACCCCTTTCTGGGGGGTTGGGGGGGTGAGTGAAAAAGAAGAAATTAAGAAGTACAAATTGGCAGTTACAAAATAATCACAAGATGTAAAGCATGGGGAATATAGTCAATAATATTGTAATAACTATGTATGGTGCCAGGTGGCTCCTAGGCTTGTTAGGGGGATCTCTTTGTAAGTAATATAAATGTCTAATCAGTATGTTGTACACCTGAAACTAATGTAACATTGAATGTCAACTATTATTGCAAAAAAAAATAAGCGACCCCTTCTAGGGCTTCAGGAGTTATCTGTCTCAAAGGCACTGAGAGCTCTGGAGTGGCTAGAAGCCCGTCACCCTTCTACTGCAGTACAAGGTAGTGGTCCCTAGGGATAGGCTGTAGTCACACAAGCTTGGGGGTGAATAAATAGCTCCATCATTGCCTGCTGCATGATGCTGCTAGCTATTTAACCTCAGCTTCCTCATTTGTCAAGCAGGGATAATAGTGCCTATCTTACTGAGTGTTGGAACAATCACGTTGGATAGTGCATGCAGAGCATTTGGCACATGCATTGTATACACTAAATGCTCAAAGAATGTTGGCTGTCATCCCACATCTATGAAAGCCCAAAAAGGTGCTGTTTGATATCACCATGGTCCTTCTATGCCCAATCCATTTCTACACTTCATGGTCATACCTATGAGAAAAGAACTCCCTCCTCACTAGGGCTTGAATAATGGGCTGCACATCACACACTGACAACCTGTTAAGAAATAGACTTCATATTAGTCTAAAAATTGATTGGGGTTGGGGAAAGATGAATAGAAGAGCACAAAGGATTTTTAGGTGTGAGACTATTCTGTATGATACTAAAATGGTGGATACATTTGCCCAAAGCCATAGAATGCACAAGAGTGAACTCTAATGTAAACTATGAACTTCGGATGATAATGAAGTGTTAATGCAGATTCATTAATTGTAACAAGTATACCCTCTGGTGGGGGATGTTGATAGTAGGAGAGGCTATGCATGCATGTGTGAGGATGCGGGTATGTGGGAAATCTCTGTACCTTCCAATCAAGTTGGCTGTGAACTTAAAACCGCTCTAAAAAATAAAATCTATTAAAAAATTGATCACACACACACACACACACACACACACACACACACACAGACAGTCTGCTATTGAAATCAACTCTGACAAATGTGAAAATTTAAGAAATCCGGCTCTTTATTTAACATCAAAGCTAACATCAAGTTCTTATTTAAAAAAATAATGGCACCTGCTTTGAATAGGTGAAGATCTACATATAATTTAAAATTTTAGGCTGACATGAAACTATATATATATGGGTACACATTTGCCTTCTAAACACACACACACACACACACACACACACACACACACACAGACAGTCTGCTATTGAAATCAACTCTGACAAATGTGAAAATTTAAGAAATCCGGCTCTTTATTTAACATCAAAGCTAACATCAAGTTCTTATTTAAAAAAATAATGGCACCTGCTTTGAATAGGTGAAGATCTACATATAATTTAAAATTTTAGGCTGACATGAAACTATACAGTATCCCACAAAAAGGAAATTCTGCAATAGATTTCACAATAAACATTTTGTTTTTACTTTCAGAGCCACTAACCACTGCCTAAATATATCTTAAACAGAGCACATTTTCTTGAAACATTTCTCTTAGGACAAACATAGCAAGACATGCTTTAAATACATAAATTAAAATTGCAACACATAAATCAATTCCTAAAACAATCCAGGTACATTACTTTCCAGCTTCTTATAAACAGAATTGTACTGACTTTAAAAAATCATAGGTTAGTTTTGCTCTGTCTCATGGGTTATCACACTTTTAACTGTACTTTTTAATTTTTATTTTTTTTTAGCATCTTAACTACCTCTGATGTAAACGGGCCAATCTCATTGTTTTCAGTGACTTATCTTTTTAGGCCAACTCTTTCCTTAGCACATGTGCTAAACTTCTCTTAATCCCTCTCTCCAGGTAAAGTCCTGAATTTTAAATAATGCTACTTTGTCCTACCACCGGTTCCTCAAAATTATAGAAATATGTAGAATTATTTAATCATCTATGTTCACGTTAATAACTATATTTAAAAGTTTTTCCAAACCAATACAACTATATTTGGATTCAACACAAAAAAGAAACATTCTCATTCAATGCAAAACAATTTGGTATTTAAAATCCAAACAAAAGGGACAAAAGTAATCAGTTGCCCGATGGAAGCTAGTGGCTGTCACTATTACTGAACCCATAATTAAACCTGATATGCTAGAGGAATGGCAGGGCAATGAACATACACAGCGGGACAACCGTTCAACGAAAACAAGAATGACAAAGCAGAAGGGCTAAAATCACATGGATGGTAACTGACAGGAATACCTATTATGGGCTGAAAAGAGGAGAAGTTTCAGTAGATTTTAGTCTATTAAGAGATCACAGCGATCATGTAAAACTACTAATCGTACACCTAGAAGCCTGGGACTGATCCTATTTTCACTGTCCCGAATCAGTAAGGGAGCACTTTTATTTCCTGATTCATTTTGGGTTTGTATTTATTACATTTTTGTGTGTGTGTGTGTGTGTTTTGTTTTGGCTTAATCATACTCAAAATATAAGCCGGAATAACCAATTCAAAACCCACGAGCAAGTATATTTAGGTTTTTGTTTTGTCCTCAGTGAACTATCATTATCCTGGTGATCATGAAAATAATGCCATCCAGAAATCCAATGCTAGAATCAAAAAGTCCAGTATCTAAAATCCCTCAATAAGTTCACTGAATGAGCAGGTGCTTACGCTCCCCACAACTGGTTTTCCTCTTCAGTATGTGTATAACAAGCTGTTTACTACCAATGCGGAGTGGGGAAGAGGGATTAGTTCACATAAATGTAAATTAAATATCCAATTCCAGAATATGTCATAGCTAGGTCACTATTTTAAATTGTACACTTATAAAATTTTATTTAATCTCTTTATGCAATGAAGAAAACAAGCAGGGTTTATTCCTTAAGAAGAGAATTACAAACTACAGAGTAAAAGTCTCCTTGGAGTATATCATCTTATTAAAAAACTTCATGAATTTTCAACAAGACTCTAAAATAAATATGCTGCGTAGGTTGAGCACATCCGAGTGAAAACAAGCTGATGTCTAATGAGAATTACTGGAAGTATGAATTCTGTAAGAAGAATTCATGATCAGGTGCGATGATTTAGACCCTCCAATATTTCAGAGTAGAGCCAGTTTCTAGCAGCTTCTGTCAACTGCTCCAGACTTGAGGGGGTGGAATGTGCTGCTTTCCATTTCCTTCTCTACTTCTCTCACTGAGGCAGAGACACACTGATGGCAGGTCTGGGAAGCATCAAAGCAAACATTCTAGGCTCAGTCACGGAGTGGAATGTAGTGGCATGGGGAGCAGGCCCATGTATCCCTAGTTCCTCTCAGGGCCCTTACTTCCAGGACTGGAGATCTCACCCAGTCTCTCTATACTCAGCCCAACTCCTGGCATGTCCAAAGTGCCTCAGAAAAGATTCACAGAAATCGAGAGGAGCCCAACCAGGACCCAGCTTGATGCAAGGGTGTAAATTACCCCCAGCCCTCAGCCCACACGTAGATTGATGCCCACAGATAAAGGACAGTGCTGGCCATTAAAAAAGAAAAGCCAAAAGAAGTGTTCCATTTTTTCTCCTGTCTCTCATCCCTTGATCTGGAACCTGTTTCTGTCTCCAAGATTTGATGGATCACAGTGTATTCATAGCGGACTTGAGAGACGAAGGGAGAGTCTGACAGTGAAAGGGGACACGGTCCTGAGATGAGCGTGGGACTAGTAATTCCCTCTTCCCTGAATCCAAAATACTTTTAAGCCAACGATTTCATGAAACGCTTACTGTTTTAAAAAGCTCAAGTCTGGAATTAAATAATGGTGTCAGTTGTATAAGTTTGTGAATTATTAAAACCACTGAACTGTAAACTTGAGCTGTAGGAGTCTCACATATACTGTACTTAACACCAAATGCTCAACTATCCTATTCCTATTCCTATGGCACACTGTCACATTGCTTCAGGAGATTTCCCTAAGAGCAGCTGTTTGCGAATATTGCACTTAATTTAAATCCAGGTGATTTGATGTTTTCTGGAAGAAAATGTACATTAATATGCATCTTTACACCTTCAGATAACGAAGTGGGAGGTGGTAGGAGGGGCTAGACAGCAGTTTACATTAAATTCTTCCGTGTTTTCCTTTTAGGTGTAGAGGAACAGATTTAAAGGAAAGTATCATCTGGGCTGAAAATAGTGACCAGCGTCCCTAAAACAGACCGAAGATGTTAACTCCTGAATGCTTTACCTGAGTGAAATGTGGCCACTGTTACCTTAGAACTTCTTTTTGGTGAGATCCTAAGAGATAGACGGCAACTTTGGCTCAGACACTGGATCTAATTTATTTTATTCTTGCTGGTCTTTCAGGGTCCTAAGTGGACCCTCTCAATCTTCACTCAGGTGAACTGCTCCCGCCGATCCAATTAGATCACATGTCATATCTTCCTTCCGCTTCCAGTGTTCCTACCTTAACACACTTTAGCTTCATAAACTATGATTCTGTTGTCTTTCTTAAAACAAAACAAAACAAAAAACAACAACAACCCTGCAACAAGAGCATCCTGTGTTTTCATCTACTGAGTAAGCCTCACAATCCCCCACAGGCCTGGGAACACAGTGAATCACATCCTCAAAGGAGGTTTATCACAACCAAGATTTGCCAAAACACAAACCTCTGCAGTAGTGCTTACAGGACCCCAAAGTAATGTTAAAGCCACAGTTTGATGAGGGATTTGGAAGCATTTCTAGATGCTTTGAAGGCTGGGCATTTGATAGTCAGTTAAGATGAAATCGGATATATGGCTCCCTAGGCGTAAGACGGCAAATGCCTCATTCACACATCCTCATGTCTTAAAGTGCAACAGAACAAGTAAGTTAGACTTTGGATAAACAGGTGTGTAAGATGTCCATGTTACAGAGTGTTACACACAATTGACCACTCAGCTCATATGGGACCTATGGTCAAGTGTGGAGCAGTGGGATGGATTACACGGGACTTACTGTACTTCCACAGGCCACTAGTGTTCAACACGGCCGACTCACGGGCCTCTTCCCTTCCCAGAGTCGTGCCATGTCCTTGCTGCTTACAGGACTCAGGGAAAACGCCACCACTAACAATGGTGAATCCGATTTTGAGAGACTTGAGAGAGAAAGAGATTTAAATTCCCTTTTCTTCTGGGTCACTAATTGTGCCAAGTGCTCAATAACCAGAGGCCTGCCATGCTGGGCAAGTCAGGTGGACAGAGATCTGGTCTGATTAAGGCCACGAGCAATGTGGGGGAAGGGCTTGGGAACAGTCACGTTAACCAGGTAAACAGGCCTAAGCCGGCATCTGCTACCGAGTTAAGAGAATTACAGTTATTTACAACGCACGGTCCCAGTCCTTTGTGTAATCTTCAGTTGGCAAAACTGTTCATTTTAAAATTTGGTAATACGCACAGATTTTTTTTTTAATTTAAATAAAAACTTGAAAAAACTTGAATAAAGGAACTGGTGGCTTCATCTAGGTATTATTATCCTTTCTATGGCACACAGAATATGGTCCCAGTTTTTACAAAATATTGCAAGAAGAGTCACAGCAAAGAAAGTGCCAAGAATGTGGAAGCGGCTCTTCATCATGGGTGAGACGAACTTTGCGATGGTGGACACACACACCAAGATGACGGTCATGAAGGCCAGGATCACGTTGATGCACTTCCCCAGAAGCACTTTGGCATTCACTGTGTCTGTCTGCAGAGCTTGCTGCTCTTGCTGGTGGAGCTCCAGCTTGGAAATGCGCGTCTGGCAGGATTCCAAAGCTTCCTGTGGGCAAAAGGAAGAGGAAGGATCAAATGCTGTGAGATCATGGGTAGAATGTGCACACCTGCCCGGATGTGCATGGAAGCCCACCCTGGCTCAGAATGCCTGATGCCGAGGCAGCTTCACAAAGCCAACCTGACAGTGATGACAACAATGATGGACTAAGAAGTTGAACAGAAATCCTGGGGCCCATTTTATCTTGTTATTCATGGGTAGAATGAACATGTGTACACAATCATAAAATACCATAGATGAGCAATTATGGTTATGTATTTTGACTCTACCTACATATGAAATAAAGTACATGAAATATTGGCATCTGTTGGCGCCATGAGGGACAAACCTGAGGAAGGGTGTGGTTCTATTTTGGGACAATTGTCTATCTCCAGCCATGGAGTAGGTGGTATCTCCAACTGTGAGTCCTTATCTCACTGCTCACAGTCTGTGTGCACCCATTCACAGGCTGGCTGGAGAATGAAGGGAGAAGGGTGGAGGCAGGACTGACTGCAGGGCCACTCTGCTTGTGCCTGCTCTTTGAATGCTACGTAACTCAGGACACTATCCAAGGCTACGCATTCTCTCTAGGTCTTGTTCTTTCCAAGATTTCAATGACTAAGACACAGATGACTTCAAGTATATACCCAGCTGTCTCTTCTGAGATTGATTCACATATCTGTATGTGTCCTTGACATCTCCACTAGAGCTTCTTAAAAGCGTCTCAAATGTGACATGTCCAAATGTAGATTCATGTACTGCACCTTCTCCCGTACCTGCCATCAACCCTGCTCCCCTTCTGGTGTTCCTTTTCTCAGAAAACGGAACATGATCTGCTCTCTTCCTCAAACCAGAAGCCTTGGAGACATTCCTTGACACCCCTGTCATCAATTCCACCACCCAGCCCCATCGATGCAACATCCAGTATCTACCTCAATTGGTCCATTTCTCTTCCCTCCCACAGTCACCTAAGTCACCAGGATCTCTTGCCCACAACAACTTTACACTAATTTCTCTACACGCCCTCTTGATCCTAAACCCCATGAATCTACTTTCCACACAGCAGCCCAAGTGACCTTTGAAAGATGCATATCCGATGTCATTCATTTTTGTGAAACCCTTTAAATCTTTAACATGGCTCAGGCCTAGCCACTCTCTTCTGCCTCATTTCATGTGTTCTGGCCATATTGGCTTTTTATGGTTCTAAAAAGAGCATATTTGGGGCCTCTGCATATGCAGTGTACTGTGTCTGAAATGTCTATCTTCTCACTCCTTCCCCTTTTCATCTGTGGATCATGAGGCTTGAGAAAAACCTTTGGTCTCTAGGGAGAAAAGGACCTAAGAAGAGGAAGTACAATGAGCTCTTTTTAGGTCACCGGCTTATTATCTAACTCATTCACCAATATGCATTTGCTCAATTAAAATAGAGTCATCTTTTCAGGTTTTAAACAGCATAATGGCTCCACCATGACTTGCTTTTCTTCTGCTGCATATTCTCATTGGGCTGAAGAATGGGGATCACTGTTACTATAGTAACTTTCATTACACAGGCTACCAAGAAAATAGGTAAAACTTCTTCAGGTCTTCACATTCTAAAAAGTGCTGGCTTTCTACAATGATGGGCAAGTGCCCCAGAAATTGTGCATTCTCTGCAAACACTTGGGCCCAAAGTTTCTTCCATTTTAGACATGGCATGGAAAAAGTGACAGAACAAGACAACAGATCAACATTTTAGGCAAATTCATTCATCTTTCATTGGGTAGATGAATTACATATACAACTAGACTAATCCTAGAACCTACCTTAGAATTGCTGTCAAATTTTTTTATCAAAAGAAAAATCCAAGAAAATTAAACAATGAATTGTAAGGAATTTTAGTCATGGCACCCTCTAGGAGAAACTCAGCTCCACAATCTTTAGCATGTCCTTGGGTCCAGTATTTGACTTATTGGGGATAAGGGGATCAGGACAGGGGGCAGGATTTTAATTGGGAATTCAGGGTTAAAAAAAAAAAAATCCTGAAAACTCATTTGCTGAAAACAACAAACTCTTGCATCCCTTCATGCATACTAGCCCGTCTGCTTGTATAGAACCCTGCCTATGAGAGAAGAAGAAACAAGAAATAAGGACAAAGTGGAGCAGGCCCAGTTACTAAAAGTCCTGAGAAACATAGCTACTCCCCAACATAAGAAGAATGGCCAGAATTTATTTTTTGCCTGCTTATGTGTCAAGCAAAGATTTAAGAATTTAACCTTATTATCCCATTTAATCCTCTCCACAGCCCTCGGAGGTAGCTCACTAATATCTCCGTTTTATAGATGAGGAAACTGAGACACAGAGAGCTGACTTGTCCAGGGTCACACAGTAAATAAGAGAGCCAGGCTTCTAACTATCATCACATGAAGGACCCTCTAGTCATATAGATGTCCTCTTTGCACATCTTAACTAGAGCTGACACCCAAAAATGTTGAAGTCTTCGGAGTTTTTAGGCTCCTGGTGTGAAGTCCCTCCCTTTATCTTATCTGTTCATCCCTAAAGTATGTTTCCTTTTTAAAAAAGGAAGAAAAATATTAACCCAAACTATCCCCTAAGAAAACCGTATATTTAGACATAATCCAGTGGTATCTCAGGCATGCTCTAAAACCGAATGATCTAATAAAACTGACTGCATTGCTTACCTGGCAACACTTAAATTTAAATTTAAATGGGTTCAAAATTTTAAAGCCAGTAGGTGGTGAAGCTATCCCCTCAACCAGAGCAGGAGAAGACATCCTTAAGTGTCTTCTGCACCACAGTCATCAGGCAAGTATTTCCTACCAGCTCGGTCTGATGCCTTGGCTCCCAGAATTGTCAAAGTACATATGTGGGATTAGCACAGGCTCAGCCCTTGACACAGTGGAACAAAACATGGGCAGGTGGAACTCCAGTTCACACGTTGTGGTAGAAATCTCTCTTCATGTTTCAGTTTTCTCCCTTATGAAGGGGGGCTGGAGAAAATAATCGCTGGCTACAAAGAACATTTGTAAAAATGAAGCTGAGCATTAGTCAAAGTGAATATATATATATATAT